CTGTTTCGGAATACATGACATGAAAAATCCATGAATTCAATTGGATTAAAAATACTGCGATAGTTGAAAATATTTTAAGTTGAATGTGATTTATAGCATTTACATACAGTATATCGGTTTCAAGTTTTCTGCAATACTAGGTTAAACTTCACTACTACAGTTGTCGATTTCACTTCAAATGTACAACTACTTCAGCAAAATTGAATTAAATTTTCTGGATTTTCATTTTGAATCCGTTCTCAGGCTTCCTCTATAGAGGCACCTGGCTAACACTCCTAGTTTCTCCAGTTACCTTGGTCGGTGCATCGCCATATATTAACCATGAATAAGTCATCTCCAATATCTCACTCGGTGTTCAGCTCCTCTGTGTAAGTCTATTTTCGGTGTTCCAGCGCTACCCTCTGAATGGCTAGCTCGAGAGTTATTCTGATATCGATGATCATTCGTCGGTGGATTGTAGCCGTCACGACGGGTTGAATTCACCACGTCTGTGCATACGGTGGAGCCACCATGCAGCCATCTCTAGCTTTAGCATTCAGTGGCTGGCTAAGCAATACTGTTCTCCAAGACTTGAAATTATATGAGAATGTAGCATATCATAATTCTAGTCAAACATTGGAATAATCTTATTTGATATATAGATATATTGTATAAAAATCAATATATAGCAAGTACCCATGCAGAATAGTTTCACAAGGCGGGATATGCCCTCCATACAATTTATAAATTTATAATGGATACTTGGAATATTTGAATAACTTCATTAGAATAAAAATGTTTGATTGATGTGAGAGATCAAGACATATTAAATTATCCTGCTGCTACTTTACCAAATTTTTTTTAAGAATATCTTATCGCTACTATTATTTTTTCTTTTCCATGTAATCACTTTTACTGATTTTAGCAAATTTTTCGGCTTTTGTGCAGCGGCACCGAACGGAACTACATGGGCTCAATCACATGTGGAGCTCGCATGGCACAAGTTAGGAAGGGGGGGAGGGGGTTCATAGCCCAATAAATGGTGAGCCCAGTTGGGACTCGCCAATCTTATATGCATCATTTTAAATTACTTAATTTATTCATTGCGGGAAAGATATTAAAGGAAAATTGTCCAATTAATTCGTTCCATAATCATCCCATTTGCATCGATTCATTTAACAACGGACTTTAAACGAATATAAGGCATCACAACTATTGCAAAATTTTGTGTGATGATAAGGTCAATTACTTCTCTGTTTTGCAGGGTGAATCGAGGAAACTTCCTGTTTTTATTTCACGCCAAGCAGCCAGATGTTGTAGGAAAAGGGCGGGAAGTATTTCATATGAAAGGCAAGGTCATGAAGTTATATGTTCCACCAAGTCAGTTGCCACTATGCATTGTACAAGTGAGCAGCGTGCGTTTGCTCTCGAGGCGCACATTTCTAATTGTCGTGCCATTATCGCTACTCAACGAGCATTCCGTACTCGGTTCCGTATTCGCCCTTCATTCCTGATCGGAAATCGATTGTTACGTGGGTGAACACATTTAGGTTAAGTGTAAGTGTGAATGCAAGAGGGTCTGGAGGTCAGCGGACTAGGTACCACAACACCCGAAAACGTACAGAGTTGGAAAGGCGTTTCTGCGTTCTCCACACCTTCAGAGACAACATTTTGCAGAGCGCCTAATTGCCTTGAGAGGTGACTTTCTTTGTCCGGTCCGATCCCCCGACTTTTCTCCGGATGATTTTGTATGGGGTTATTTTAAAGTAATTGTTAACAACGACTGTTCAATTAAGGACCTTACCTCATTGGAAGAACAACATACGCTAAGCCATCGCCAACATTCCCGTCAATATGCTTCAGCGAATTGAACGGAACTTCAAAAATCGATTAACTGAATGCATTGACAATGGGGGCCGTCATTTGTCCGATGTCATCTCAAAAACTAAGTGATACAAAAATTCTGGTAATGTCTTTTTTAATAAAAGTTATATTGTAAATCATTACAATATTACTTTGCAATAGTTCTTCTATATGAGCTTTCAATTCAGGAAGTTTCCTTGAATCATCCTGTAAATTATTGAAATGCTTCAAAGGGAGAAGAGTTTTAAGAGCACATTAATTATCGGCTTCTGAGACACAGAATAATCTTTTGTAGTTGAAAGAGCTCTAAATATTTCGCATTTGCAAAGGAAACTCGAGCTCCTGGTGTTTATGCAGCAAATTCGTGTAAATCTTCGGCAACTTTGCTAAAAAGTTAAAGATTCTTCACTCGAATCTTCAGGCGTCGAAGTTGAGTATAAACTTCTAAGCTCATCCTCATAGTTTTAGAAAGAAGGAACATCAAATCCTTTGAAGTTCATAACCGAAAACTTGACGAGAATGAATAAAATGGAATTCCGATTCCTTGTCGGCTATCATCCCAACCTTAATCACTTCGATAAACAGAGAATATTCGAATATTCTGAGTGCATTAATTCAGAACGTTTTCTGAGGTCGCGATTTGAGTAATTTTTATGGAGAAATCAGTGTATGATTCATGTGCATGAATCTCTAGCTGGCTATAAGCGTGCATGCTTACCTTACTGGGAAGCCAGCAATGTTCAGTACGTGCATCGCACGAATTCAATGTAGACCCGGAGCGAAACTTTTCAAAACGAGCCGTTTGAGCTTATCTTTAGTAGTACTAAAGCTCTAGAGCCACTTCCTGGCTCTCTCTATAGGGAAACTATAAAATATTCTCTGAGCTCGGCTAGTTTAGTTGCGTTACGGTAGATTTTCCAAAGAATTCCCTCTCGTCCTCGACCAGAAAAGAAACTGCAAGAGCAACAGCAGCTTGCAATGCAAGCCAGCAATTCTGATGAGACTCACCAGCATGCAAATTATCGTCGCCATATCTCGGAGAACTGAAAGACTCGTCTCATTTGCCTTAAGTTTTGATGATCTTTATTTCTGTCTATTCAAATGGAGGGCGCACAGCACTAACTCATCTAGCAAGCCAATTATGAGGCAGGTAATATTAATCATGTAATGAGAAGCAAATATTAATTGAAGGTTTATTTATTTACATATATCTACTTCATTGATCCCATTTTTGCTTACATCCCCTCATGTTACTAATACAATATCTTACATGCATAGCATATTGCGAGTATCAATTGTTTTTGCATGCAGAGGGTTAGTTAATACTTTATAAGCACAGGTATACCTTGGGTCCATGTAGGCGCATTGCGCAAGAAATGAAATCTCAAATTAGTTACGTATCGGAAAAATAAAGTGCAGAAATCCGACGATCAGGTTAGCTGCCAAGGTCATCGAACGATTTTCTGAATCAGAATTGGTTCATGGCAAGTAGATTCAAGGTAGGTCGAAGGACTTTGCTGCGGGACTCGTCTCTCTAATACTCGAGCTCTTCATTCTTTTTATTCTACGAAGCACCTATTGTGTCGTCTGGTTCAAAAGAACTTCGAAAATACAAAACACTCAAGTTTAATAGTAAGCGAAAAATAAATAAACACGACAACGGATGAGCACGTATAGAAATTACTAACTGCTTAATTCATAGGCTCTAGGAAATCTCTAAGTTATTCTTCTATTTTTAACATACGCACTTTGCACCCAAGTAAGACGCATTTCTTCTACAACTATCAATTTTCGATGTAGCTTTTCGATGATTCTTGTCGACTCAAGTTTTCCTGAGTCGGATTTCAATCGCGCGTGATTGACTGCTCCGGTGCGCATAGGGGAAAATTTCCATGTAAGTTTCAGTGGAGTAGAATGGCGAATATTTTTCTCGATTATATTCACTTTAAATTATTACCGAAACCAACCCAGATTTCTGTTGCTCTCTCTCGCCAGGGTTTGTACTGAAGAGAGTCGATTCTTTTTGCGGAATTTTTGACATGTTCTCCCTCGGTTTTATTGATTCTTCTTCAGGCTGCGGCAAATATTATAGAGAAGAGAAAGTTCATCTTCGCGATTGGCAAAAATGGCATTTTGTGTTGTTCCTGCTACAGGATCCTGGTCGTCAGGTTTTTGCGGATTTGGATTAAAAAAATTATTTAAGGGTTCAGTTTCCAATATCCAACTTTTATTCAAAACTTTATTGCTTTGTTGTCGATATAAAAAACTGTACTTCACACATTCTCTTTTGTCTCCATTTTACATACATATATATGTCGTGCTGAAATCGCGAATCTATTCTATGGAATCGGCTGCCAGTTTGCCGAATCTGTAGAATCAGCATTTCGTTGCTGCATGATTCAGAAAATTGGACGTTAGAGTTAGAGTTAAAACATAAATCGACAGTTAGAGTTGGAAAAGGTTAAGCCAAGTTCAGTCAAGTTCCTTTATATTTAATTATTTTAAAAAAGAACTTGGCTGACTGACCTAACCCCACATTCCTATAGTATAGAAATGTTGATTCTACAGATTCGGCAAACTGGCTGCCGATTCAACAAAATCGACAGTTCCGCAATTTCGGCACAACATGCAGTATATTATGTATATATTTAGTTTTATTATTTACTGGTAGCAGTCGGACGCTCAATACACAGATAAATACAGCCCCGTTCAATGGGTTAACATATATCGTTAAAAAACTATTATACAAACTTAATTAACTTACTTAATTAATACTTTACTTAACAAACAACTTACAACTTAATTAACACTTACAAACTTAATTAATACTTACTTGATTAATTCTGATTGTTAAATATGAACATTTGTTCTTCAGGTTACAAACTTAATTAATACTTATTTAATTAAGTTTAATTAAGTTGGAAGCATTTTGCATTTTTTCTTTTAATTTTCGATGGTCTCTTGTTATGTATATTTTTGTCTGCTCTTCTGTGAATAAAGAATAAAGAATAAATTAATTGTGATGGTTAAATATGAACATTTGTTGTTGAGGTTACAAACTTAATTAATACTTACAAACTAAATTAATACCTACTTATTTAATTGTCAGTGTTAAATATGATCATTAATAATAATTAATATGACCATTTGTTGTTGAGGTCCGCTGGTGACGCTACAGGCGCTGGTGGGGGGCGAGACTATGCTGCCCTGCGACGTGGCGCCCCCAACACCAGGGGACGCCCCCCTCCTCGTGCTCTTCTTCTATGGCAACAAAGCAACTCCTGTCTACAGGTCTGTCAATTGTGATAATTTAAATTATAAGGAAATACTAGATTAGTATAAGTAAAACTAGAATTATAAGGGAATACTAAAATTATAAGGAAATAATACAATTATATGGAAATACTAAAATTATAAGGAAATACTAAAATTCTAAGAAATAAATACTCGAATAATTACACATATATTCAATTTCATACCATTAGGACCTAAGGCAATATAATTCTACCGCTCAAATGTTCTACTTGCACTAAACTTTGATCAAATGACAATGTAGCTAAATAATGAATCAATCACGCGTTTAATGCTTATTGAATGCCTGTTTTGCTTTAATTATTCTGAGTTAGTATAATGAGGCGTTTTATCACTCCAGATAATTATAGGTTTCATCTTTTGCTCTAAGATTCTTAAAATCGCGAGAGATTCCGCTACACTGAAAGACTCAGTGTTGCTGAGGATAAAACACTCATCGCAGGGACAGTCTATGTTCGATGATGCTTGAACACACGAATTCTCACAGCCCGACTACGCAAAGATAAGCTCAAAAAGTGAACCTAAGCGAGCCCATTTGGCGAAGAATCATTCAATGCTATAGAACCGACTGAGCATCATTTCTTTAGGGATCAGTGATGGTCCATTGACGACCATTGGAGGTATATGCGAAGGATGCCATCCTGGGAAAAGGAAGCGATGGGCCGAGAGAGAGAAAACGATTCCACAGCGGTCGTTTGAAGCATTTTGCGCAAGTCGTTGCTGGCATTCGCCGGCTTGTGATGAGTTTCAACGGAAAATACGAGCGTCGTTCAGCCGAACATTTGCAGCTAATGCAGACATAGGGAACACTTTGGCCTGCACTTCTTCTTGCGAGTTTTACTCATTTTCTCTATGAAGGTACCGAGTTCTTAGAGTAAATGTCATTGGCTAGAGGCAGATATGATGTCATTTGCAATAACATTTCTTAGCTATATGACAGTCAGATTTCAAGGAAAATTGGTAGGATAACGAAGTTAAACGTCTATTATGAGCGAGAATGGGCCAGCAAATTATATATTGGCATTGAACCATAATTTAAAAGATGGGATGTCTACGTCACTACAATGAAATTTAATTGAGCTGTATTTTCATGCTCGACTTATCCTGTTGCTTCAATTACAAAATATTATCAGGATATTGTAGTATAAATATCGACATTATGAACAATTTGGAAATTTAAATTTTAATTCTTATTTGTGATCTGGATTTCATGTTGTTTTATTTTCACTATGAAACGCAAGTCATTTGAAAAAAAATTAAAACAGCATCCCATGACGTTTCCCACACATCAAGCGACTGGCGTATGAAAATAAAAAAGCTAAAACTTGTCAAGAGTTCTGAGCGCATCCACTTAATAGCGCTTGAGAACCTTGAGGTTGCCGTCAAGCATAGTTTAATGGCTTTCAACGATTCATAACGCCGTATAATCGGATCAGCGGAGCGTTGCTGGGTCTTCTGAGACCGCCAGCTTCCACTTTTGTCTGATAATAATACGTCGAGCGACAGATCCCCGCGCTTTATAATTACAAGCAAGAAAATAATGTGCCAGAGGCTCTCAACTTTGGTCATAAAACATGCATACGAATCAGGTTTAGGCAAAATGATGATGCATTCAAAAAATTGAGCAAAAATGCAAGAATTTTCGAGAAAGAATATGTCAACGCCTACTATGCCGTGTATCTATTTCATAATAATTGAACCCGAATGCATAATTTATAAACATCAAAAGAAGGCTTGTCGAAACAATTTTAGCAATTTTGGTTAAGCAAGACAACCTCAAACGCCGCCGCGACCACGAACCGCCGAAAAATATTAATTAAATAATATCTGAATACATGAATCAGTATTCTCTTCTATTTCATTTCCATTTAGGTTGTTATTTTCCCTGGTTAATTTTTTTGTAATGAAATGGATATCTACCGCTCAAACTGATGAATACTAATAAAGTTTTTATTTGTATTCATAACAATTAGCGACTTGTTCGCAAGCGACGCGCTGCAATTTACACTGAAGAATGCGTACTCGACGCGTGTTCTCGTTCAGCGAGTGCAGCTTCAAGCGACATCTGGCCGGGCGCTGAAGCTAAAAACATTTTTACAGGGATGCAGCTTCACAGAATAATTGTCAACACGGTCATTGGATTAGCCACGTGCATGGTGAATGAACTATACCAAGATCTCCACAACGCGGTGCTGTAAATGGAATCTGTAGCTATTTACTTTTTAAACAACACTTACGGTGATATACTAAAGCTTTAACGAATTAACAACTGTTACATTAGCAGTAATTACTTCTAAGTGCATTGGCAGTAATGGCTCGCAATTGCATCGCAACACAATCTTTCGTGAGTCGAACACAAATAAAAGTTGAATAATTACCCTCATGTTCGAAAACGACTCCAAATTCGAAAATGCTGTCCACAAATAGTTAACCCAATATGTCGATATTATTGTACACAATAATGCATACATGTTCGAAAATTTTACACCAACTCTGTAATGTTTACAGTTCAAAACCGCAAGCTTATTTTCATAAGGTTAAAACAAGTTGAATGATGAATTCAGTTTACTGTTTTCCTAAAGCTGTTAGGGTTTCAGTAAACTGTTCGTGAATTCAGCTAGTAAACTGATAAATCAGTTTACTCCGAGAGAACACTGTTGCGATACTCCACTTTACGCAAACCGAATTCTTCGTGAACGTCACAAGTACGAAGGGTAACTCGGAAAATCTTCCGTTCTTTCGAAGCAACAAAAGACGAGTGACGATCATTGGCTACCTCTTTTCCGATGCTGTGATCGCAGCAGAAATGCCCCACTTTCTCCTCTCTCAACTGCGCTGGCTGATATCTGCGTGTTTTTCTTTCAAACCAAATGGATGATTGGGATTTTTCTCGGATTGTATTTGGATAAATCTTTAGGGAAGGAGAAAGAGGAGATCGAGCGTCTAGTCCAGCAGATTGCCTTTAAGCAGATCAGTAGACTGCGTTGCTTTTCAATTTTTTTCTGGCAATACGTGGTATAGGATAATTTATGGTGAGCATTTTGTAACCATGTAATTTTTGAAAATAATTCTAGCAGTGAGAGTCAGATGAATAAATCAGCTCGGTTCATCTGGTCACTCGTGCTACCAGACATTCAGGGATGAAAAGCATTTGCGACGGTCAGCAGCCACAGGGTCCAAAAAAAACGAAAATTCACATTTTTGAGTTTGATTGTTAATAATTGGGCTTATAACCCTTTGAGTAAATGGTATAATAGTTTTCCAATTTCCTTAGCTATAATTTTTAAATTGAGATAGGGCTTTTGCAATGGATTCCATCCCACTTGCACAATAAAATCTTCCATAGACAAAGAAAGAAATTTGATTTTGAAAGCGTCGGCTCCGATGACAGACAGCGCACGAATTTAATTCACTCTGTGTATTTTAAGAGAACTGGCCAGTCAGGCAGATTATTCAAAAGCCTTCACATCGCCAAGAAAATAAGTCGAGCCCGACGAAACTTTGACATCTTTTGAGAGCATTTGCATGCAGAGGCTCAGCGGCGCACGGATCTGCAGCTTGTCTGGCAGATTTTTCTTCCGTATTGCATTGAAGGCAAAAAACGCGTGAAAAAGAGTAAGAGTTTCATTCAAATTCACTCCATGGCCTACGCATTAGAATACATTGAGTTCAGAAAGTTAAGAATTTTTTACCTTCATACGCACTCTAATATTTACAATGAAATTTTGAATTAGTTAGGGAGGGAAGTGTGTACAAGAATTTTTTTTGGTAATTGAAGAAATTCATGATGACTTTCAGATATATTCATCGTCCGATCCTTACTGAATGCGAGGAGAAGGTGGATTCAAACAACAACACGCACGTAACCCAATCGTACATGCGAGTTTGAAACTTTTTAGTTGTCAGTATTTTATTTCGCCGCCAGAGATTTGTTCAACCGCTCATGGGAATAAGATTCCTCGAAGTTATTCAGATCGTGGATATCGTCAGAACACTAATTTTTACTCCTTCGCTTATTCTGTGCAATTTGAACACTACAAAAAGTCTGCCAAGTTCCAGAATGAATGATAATCAAACCTCACGTAAAAATTGATCGTTTTTGTCCTCACCAACACTTTTTTGTTAGCGGAGAAACTGAAACGTCCGTTCTCTCAGAACGAGTCGGAAGGAAGGCGTCAAGTTTATCAGCATTCGGAAGACTAACGGCGACTATTCTCTCACTAGCTTCCCATCTGCAGTAATGACCTCGCCGACAGGCTGGTCATTACTGCTGGTTATGCTGTTTCCTCATTTCTCCTGTCGTCATAACCACTAAAATCTGAAACCAACGTAGTTAATAAATCTATAAATGATCTTGGACCAGAGGCCTGTTTACAGTGTTTAGGGCTCAAATAATCTTATTGTGAATTGGGAAACTTCCAATACAAAAATTCGTCCCTAATTCGGACCAGTAAAATTGTACAATAAAGTTGAAAATGCTCTTCGAACCTAGTAAGTCCTCACTCAACTCATCAAGTCTTGCAAACAAATTGTACTATGCAAATTACGCATGAATTTTTGACCCTGCGATGTAAAACAAGGCGCTTTATTCTAACAAGAACCTCATTCAGCATCAAAACGCATTCTTTTCTGTTTGAATGTATTCTTCAGTGGGCATTTGTCTCACGCCGCGCGTAAAGTCCAATAAAGGACTCAATCTATGGCGTCACTCTTTTTATCGAAACTCTTCTGGTCGCGTTCACAGTAATGTCACATTCCTTAAACAAAGGCTCTGAACGATCCGTTCGGAAGCGGGAAACAGCTTCCAGTGGGAGAATGGAGCGTGTGTCATAATTCCAGAGCTCGAGATAAAACGCTTTTGATGATGACTTAGCGGAGCGCTGCTCGCTCCTCCAAAATGATGGCTACACAAGTTTGAACTGGAACGCAAAACTTGAAGAACTTTCTGGATGCTTTTTTGATACTTTTTTATGGTCTCCATTTCAGCTGCATGAATACGTTGGTTTTTTGAAGTCCTAGTTTCGAGCAGGAGGCGGCCTTTATTTATTCTAAATATTCCCATATGTTCTGTTAATTAAATATATAATAAATAAACACTTGTTGTTTGGAAATAATCGAAATAATTGTTGTATAGTAAAAATGGGCTATGAATAAGATACATCAAATGGGTATCCTCGAAGATGTTATTTAAATTACTTAATTAAAGGTCAAATGACCGTTTTAAAAAATGACGGCAATCAATAAGTGGCATCATTCAATAAGTAAAATTATTCAACAATTTGCTGCATTCAACAAATGATGGCATTCCACAAATGTCTCCTCCCATTATTGATTGTTTCAAGAAAATTACCTCATTCAACAAAAGGCGGCATTCAACAAGTGACGCCATTCAACAAATGGTCGTCTTCAACAAACCGCGTCCTTAAACAAATGACGGCCTTTAAGGACTTTAGTGAGCCATGAAGTCGAAGTGCTGCGTGTAGTTTTAGGCAAATATACTCAACGAAAACGTAAACCTGGCTGACTAATTAACGGTACACAAGCAGCATTGGCATTTGATGATGATACAATACAAGACAAATTGAAGCACCTAACTCTAAATATTATTTAATGCTGACTACTCAACTTGGGAAACATTTTAACTAAATTTCCTGCTTAATTGATAGGCAATTTGACAATAATTATTGGATTCTGACGTCAATATTTTATTAATGAAACATAATTTGAGCCTAGTAGCGTGGTGTAGTGTTAGAACTTCAATTAGTATTTAGTAATTATATTCGTGATTTTAAACATTTAAAGTTGCCGCGTTCTTAGCGCATTTTCTCATTTATGGAAAAAATGCACTATTGTGCTCTCCATGTCCGTCTGTCTGTCTGTCTGTCCGTCTGTCCGTCCGTGACCTCAAGTTTTCGTCGACGAGAAAATGCGCTCTCTGTCACTCACTGCAGTGAGTACTGAGTTATATTTTTTAAAACTACAGCCAATTCCTGTGCCCCATGAATTACATGTTCTGCAAGATACCAAGCGGTTCACTTACCTCGCATAAATGCACGAACAATGAATATTCTTATGCATTTCTTGTTGCTGACATACAAGGATTAGCGAATTTAAATAGTACAAATATGTGTTTTATTGCTCATAACTTCTTTATTTATCGGCCGAGTTACCACAAATTTGTAAGATGGTTGGATTTCTAAATGACAATAAAGTAAAAAGAAATATTTCAACAATAATTTGGAAATCTTTTCAATAAAAATTGATAGCAAATTCAGAATTTTCAACGGCTAAGCATTCCGTGAATGTCTTTATTAAACTCATTTAACTCATTCATAATTTTTTTCTTGTCAGGAGTAATAATACACTGTTTCTTGTGTTGAGCATCGAAAATAATGTTAAAACTCGCAAAATTAAACTAATTGAATCTATTTAATGACTTTTGTCCTTTATCACGGACGCTTAAATCTTGTAAACTTCCCCTTTCTTATACCAACATATTTCTTTTAATATTTAATTCAGTGGTATCCGCATCGATAACTGATTACTGTAACTGATAGAACTTATAATTAGGATGCAAGGTATTTACTATATTTATACTATAATTAGTATTATATTAATTATATTATAGTAGTATTATATCATTTTTTATAATTATATTATTTATACTATAATACTATAATTATAATATTTATAATATAATTAATTATAATACTATAAATTTACTATAGTTATAACCTTTGAAAATCAATTAATGGCACAAATTTCGTGCACCGAGCAGCGTGGACGCGCGTGGGTCGAGCGTGTACAACGGCTACCACTGGAGCGACGCGGACCAGCTCGGGGACAGGGCCCACGTGAAGCTCTCCCCCGGTGGCAACAACGGCATGGTGCTGGCCCGCCTCGTGGTAGAGGACGCGGGACAGTACAGATGCCGAGTCGACTTCCGGGCCTCTCCCACCAGGAATATGAGGATAAATCTTACTATTATAGGTATGGCAGTTGTGAGGTAAAAATTACATATGTAGCAGTAAAATTATAAATGCAAATTTACTGTAACATTACATATGTTACAGTAAAACTGTAAATCTTGTTTAAGACTTTGCTGTGAGCAGTGCCTTTAGTGTTTCAAGAAAAGCTTGAAGCACCGCAATTTGAGGATCTTATTGTCCCGAACAGAGTAAACAACTCTGGAACCATGTAAGACAAAGAAAGAAAATCCCGTTCGAAACACTCATTCAAGAAACGTTAAAATAAAGTTTACCGACAATCTGAATTTTTTATTAACTAAATTAAATTTACACTTACCAATTGAAAACCACTTACCAATTTTTTAGTGGCTGGCTTCACACGAACTTTGACACATATATTTATTTATATCTACAGGTAATACTGGCATTATTGAAAGAAGTACTAATTGCCTGGGTGCTAATTCATCAAATATTTCTCTATTATCAGTCCCGCCCCGGCACCTGCTGATGTCTAACAGCTATGATAAATATACTTTTACCAACTTTGACGTACATATAGTAAATAATACCAGCATTACTTAATCGAAAAATAATTTCATGTGCTCAATTACAAGGAATTATTTTCTATTATTTAGCAGTCCCGCCCCGGCACCTGCTGATCACGAGCAGCTGTGACAAATATACTTATACCAACTTTGACGTACATATAGTAAATAATACTAGCATTATTTAATCAAAAAATAATTTCATGTGCGCTAATACAAGGAATTATTCTCTATTATTCATCAGTGCCGCCGCGGCACCTGTTGATCACGAGCAGCTGGAACAAATATACTTACACCAACTTTGACGTACATATAGTAAATAATATGCTAGCATTACTTAATCAAAAAACAAATTTCACTGTCTAATACAAATAATAATTCTTTATCATCAGTGCCGCCCCGGCACCTGCTGATCACGAGCAGCTGGGACGAGGGTCGCGTGGTGGAGGGCAACATCGGCCCCTACCCTCAGGGGGCGGACCTTACCCTCACCTGCCAGGTTACCGGGGGTAGGTTTTGCTGCAGCTTCAACCCAATAATAATTTAATCGCATCAGCTTTTTGGTGCAAATCCAAAATTTTCTGCGTGAGTAGAGCGCGAAGCTGAAAATTTAATGCGGATTAGGGGAAATATTTGTCGGCATTAGCAATGCAAAGCTAACAGAAAATTTTACATACAGATATTTTCATATGAACACGAGCTTTTACGAATATGAAATATTTTGAAGTTAACGAGAATATTTTTTTAAACAATCATTGTATTATGATATTCATAATATGCAAATCGTTCTGTATATTATTTTTAGCACGTACATTCAATGGACATTGATTATACAAATAGTTTTCAACAAGCCGCCGTTAATTAGAATTCAGGAAAATGGACCTGTTAATCCTGGATGAAACCTGTAACAACATAAATATTTGAGCTTCAAACGAAAATGACGCGTAAATTCCTCTTTTGTGAGTTTTTTTTCTTGAAACGAAATAAATTCTTAGCATAAAATGGCAATCTCTCAAATTCACAACAGGCATTGACACACTACAACAAACATTTTGCAGGCGCTACCAAAATCTTTGATCTCGTTCTGAAACACGCTGCTCCCAAGAACATATTTAATCGACGTCACACGTGCTCATTCAACATAAAATTTCAAGTTGATTGAAGAATGTCCTCGACTTTCTCGGCTCGTCGAATATCTGTAAAAGGGCCCTAGGAAAAAGCCAGTCATAGCGCCCACACTACACGTCCTTACCTCCAGTCAGCCGCTCGTTAAATATGGAACAGAATTGCTCGTTATTAAACCGTGAAGCTGCGGTGGCGAGAGCCAAAGCACTAAACGATCTTGCCGCCAGAGGAGGAAGGGCTGCTACGACCTGAGACGTCGGTGACAAGAGGATCGTTGTAGACTAGAGTTGTGGCCACAATTTTCGTTACTGACTGAGGTTGAATTTAAAACTATCGTTTCAGGCTGTGATTGTGTTCAGTTGTGTCCACAATTTTCACTGCTGACGGATTTTGAGTTCACAATTTTTGTTTAACGGCTGTGATTCTGTTCACCTGCTTTCGAAGGCTGCGAATTTTCGAAGGCTGCGACTGCGTTCACGATGTCTTTGCAGTAAATAATTGTTTGTTCATAATGATCATTGCAGCAGCGGATTGTGTTTATAAAATAATTGGTTACAATGCGTGACATATTCACGATTTTTAAGACTGAGGTCGAGTTCACATTTACTGTTGCGGTGTGTAAAGATGTGTCAAAGAGCAGAATAGCGTTGACCCAAATCAAGCAAATCATGATTGGTGTTGCGCACAAGAGGATTATTTATTAATATCCTCGGTTGTGCCGTCGGAGAGTGCCAAATGCTCCTATGGAATCCTCGAAGCGCACTGAGGGCTGCTGTGGCATTCACGAAGAACGCCGCTCTGATTCCTGAGGGGCTCGGTATTCAGAGCTGCATCTATAATTAAGGGGGAGATCTGAGCTCCGTTGACATTAGATAACGAAAGACTGTGAATTCGTTCTATATATTCAGAAAAAAATATTAGCTCATATCGTCCCAATAGTGAAGCGCTCTAATACCCACAGCAGGATACGGGAGCTGACATAGCACTGATGAGCTCTTTCGCTTGGTCGAAAAGCGCATCGCTATTCACACAGAGTCCCCGTATTTATTTGAGTGCCGGTGTGTTTTTAGGGCCTAAACCGCAGTTAATTTACTGTACACAGCGATGGGTTTCGTAAAATTTAGAAAAATGCAGGAAGTCATGGAATTTTCGAGTAGTGAATGTTATATAGCCACAATACATATGAGAATCGTTATGTAAGAAATTTTAGCAATGTTTCAGGTTTATAAAAGCCGTTTTAAGCACCAATGAAATTATTGAGCAAATGATATTTGTTTTAACTAAGTCACTGCCAGCTTCGTTCCTCGAGCTCCTGCAATGTTAAAGGAAATCTGACTCGGATGAAATCTCCCGAGGGAGCACAATGTAACGCGCCATATGCATGACTCCTGCGTAAATGGAAACAGGGTTTATTTTCAGCTTTTGAATAGAATTGTGTGATGCTCCTCGACTTAATAAATCTATAGCATATGAAATTGCTAAGGCTAGTTATCTAAACAAGCTCTTCCCAATGTTCCTCACGGATAACATGGACGTTAACATAGTTCTATAGCTTGAACCCCGACGTTATTGAAATGACGGTTTCCCAAACTTTATCTTCATTTCTTTTAATTCGGAGTAGCTTTTTTTAGGTAAGACGTTATGCTATCTTGATATTGATACAATATCACTTATAACAACGACAAGAAAAATTGCGGCGACAAAGCCGCCATTGCGAGGCTCATTTTGAAAAGCCGGTCTTCTCTATAACCGAACGTTTATATCGTTCCAGCTAGGCAGTAACGTTCAAGTTGATATTAAAGAATTTTAGTGATAGAAGGAAGCAGATTTCAAGTAGGAAATTTCAGGGCTGGTGGCTCACTTTACTGTCTTATAGAGGCCTTTGTAGAACCTTTATGCCAGACGCGAACTGAAGACGACGTAAAGTTGAACGAGTCACTGCGCACAGTGGCGGGCGTTACTTGTCTGCTACGAAAATGATCAGTATAAAATTGTGTCGGATGAGGAAAATTGACTTGAGCAATTTTACAGCCGTTTGAAATTAAAATTTGGTCAGTACTCTCTTTTCATGTGAATAAAAATAATAGACAAACTTTGCGCTTTTTAAAAGCAATTCGCGCCATTAATAATGTAAATAAATTTTTTGCTCTGGAAAATTTGCAGTAAATTTGCATCTGCAGGCTTTTTGAATGTAGCAAAAGTACGTTTTCCTTATAACAGATGAAGCTGATTGATCTGTGTTTAGATTACTAATAATGTTTTTATTTTGAATTTTTCTCGCTGCTAGGAATACCGCGGCCACAGATGCAGTGGCTCCAGGGAGACAGGATCCTGGACAATACCACAGAAGTCCAGACCGACCAAGTAAGCCTAATTATCGAAGCTCAATAAAATAACTTAAAATCTCAAATAATGCTCCAGTATCAGCTAGAATTATCAAAAAATATTATTTTTAATATAAGTGAAAACGCAAGTGAAAATCCGTGAGGCTCAATGACTTGATGCTACTCAACCGTCAAAGTTTCCTCGTTACCATTGGTTTCGTCTTCATTCACTCGTCTTCACATACATTCGTTTCGAATGTATAATTTGTATTTGTGCCTCATATTGGTCTCCTTAGAGAAGCTACAATAATTTCATTTGCTTTCATATTGGCGCACCTTATACATTCTTGGATATTTTCATGCCATGAAACATGTCTCTTGTGATTATTTACGCATTTTTGTATCTGGAAGGTGACTCGAAATTCGCTGCGTCTGCCGCGACTAAGCAGAAACGACTTACTGCGCAAGCTGACTTGCCTAGCACAGAACAACAACATCAGCGAGCCTCTCACGGGCGCTGTCGTGGTCGACATTGCGTGTAAGTTTGTGTCTTAAGGAGCACGGGAAGGCAGCCTGGGGGCACACAATTTGCTCTGCAAGCCGACATTGCGCTCATGTTTATTTCATCCTGAGAAAAGGTGCTAGGCAATTCCTGGCTAGCAAGCTTACTTATAAATGCTACGGGTATTGTGTGTGGAAAGTTTTCATTCTCATATATAGTTATGTATGAAAGTTATGGACATAAATGTTATGTATGATAGTTATGCACATAAATGTCTTTCAGCTCATAAGCGGCCTCTAGTATAAATGTAATCCTTGACACACAATGATAAATATTGGTTAACGTAATGTAGATCAAAGTACTTTACCCCAGGTCCATCAATTCTAACTTTAAGTGTACAAAATCAAATTATTTGCTTATAAAAACGGCAATGACGAATGAAGCAGCATTATTGAAACGCATAAATGCTCCTCTTTAACGGATTGTTATCAAGTCTTCCATCAGCTGCGAAAGAAATTTCTATCGAATTTTCCTCTCTTGACATGGCAGTTCCCCCCAGCTCGGTGAAGATATGGGCTAAAAGTAATTTCATGCGAGCGGACAAAATCCCCGAACGAATGTTAACAACATCTTCAACTTCATCGTCGTCTATTCAAAGCTCTTCGTTCTCGGTTTCATCGGCCAAGCCGAAGTCATCGTTGCCGCACGAGGTCGTGACTGTCATAGCCGAAGAGGAGGCCACTTTGGTGTGCGAGTCAACGGGCGGTCGGCCGCAAGCGCGACTTCACTGGATGATGAACGGGCAGGCCGTGTCAGAGGATCTCGTGACCAGTAACTTTTTGCCAGGCAATCGAAGAGGAGAAGGCAGGGCAAGTTCTTCTAGTACAGTCAGTGTGTCCTCCCTCAAATTCGTGCCTTCTTTTGCTGATCATTCTGCCTTGGTCAACTGCCGTGCTGAAACGCCGAGGCTGCCCAATGAAGCGCTTGAAGAACAGGTCGTTCTCAACGTGCTATGTGAGTGCCACGTTACTTCTTTCGAAATTTGGTGTCATGTGCAAAAATTAGTGTTAAAACTTGGATGAAACTTAATCAAATATATTACCCTCTAGTTTTATAAGAAGAATTTTTTATAAAACGTTATATTTATAGTAAACTTAATTGTTACACATATGTACAGATCGGGCAGACCGAGCAATTTTCACAATGTTTGGAAGGACACTTATAATAATTCAAACGAATATTACAAAATTGTATTCCAACTCTCGTTTGGGGTGCTGGTGAGAACAGATCGACCAGTTCTGTCGCTGTCGTTCGAGTCGACGCTCTCCTCGGACGACCTCACCGAGGGGGACGAGTTTGTGCTGAGCTGCAGTGTGCACGCAAACCCTCCTGCTGGCGACGTACAGTGGGCCAGAGAGGTAAAATTTCTCCCTCCATATTTTTTTAAATAATAATTTTAAATGGTGTACTGCAAAGACGTTAAATTTAAAAAGTTTTAGAAACTTTTCCCGAAATGCAGTGAAATTTATTTCTCCTTTAATATATTTTTTTATTAATAATTTTAAATGGTATAACGCAAAGACGTTACATTTTAGAAGAAAGTAAACTTTTTCCGAAATGCAGTGAAATTTAGTGGGGCTTGCATCGAGGTGGGCATCGCATTAGACTGAAATTTATTATTAGGACGGTTTGAAATACGTTTTTCCAAAAATAAGAAAATCTTCCTTTTACGCAAAATATAAAAATAATTGACTTGGAATAGCACTCCAACTGTTTTCTCATTCGTTAGTGCAACCCCATTACTGAATACATAAATAAAGTGAATTTCAATGTAGGTGGACAAATTTATATCTCTTTGAAATAAGGATATAAATGACATCTTCTGATGATAATTTGGAACTTGCCTTTATTCAAACGGTAATCAAATTCAAAATTCGTTAACGGTTAGGCATTTCCCCACAAAGAAGCGCTACGTAAATTAAATTAAATTATATGCTCGTTCAATGGAATTTCAACATAAATATCTCAAACATGAAAGATGAAGTTAATTCCGGTGAAGTAGGAACTGCTGAACACTAAACAGTCACTTAGCAGACCGATAGCCGTTCATTCATCATTTGTAGTTGTTCACTAAACGTTAACGTCAGAACAAACGGGCGAGTTTATCTCCGTCTGTGATCGCTGTAGGTTTGCGAGCGAGACTATGCCATGCATCTAAATAATATTACCATAACAATGCTGCTGCAGGCGCGCTGGACTGCAAGCGTTGAGCATAACTCCAAACGAACGGTCCCGGAACTTCGAGACGTAAATGCTCATCCCCGAGCATTTAGAGTGACATATTGCCCGCCCGGATAGAACAGCGGATTTATGCCGACACCAAAACGTCTAGTTTTTTGTAGGTGGTGTGAAATCTTTCGAGTCTTCAACACACGGTTTTGTTCAAACGCCCGCAACAAAAACGTACTTTGCCGACAAAAATCACTGTAATTTTCTAGTGCTTGTGAATGCCCGCCCGCGGGGGCAGTACAATAAGCCATTCCAGAAGGAGCCAGTGAAAAGCAAACTACCGCAGTAGCTGCGAGGAAATTCCTCGTAGCTGCACGCGAGTCTGTCCCTCTGCATGGTGAAGTGCTTGCAAAAAGCTTGGAATTACACCTCCCCCGGGTGGGCAACTTCTACGTAGCTCAGAGGTATCCATGTCGCTCGTAAATCTTCTTGAATTGCGATCTCTCATCGCTCTTCTGACAGAGCAATTTGAGGGACCACCAAACAAAAAGCCTTCCTTCTGCTGATCTTTGCAATTATTATCATTGCTATTATTCTAAAGAAACGCCAAGAGAAAACTTTTGGTGTTGGAGTTTTGTCGTGAAAAAGTTGCCGTGATTCGCCCGCTATTTACGACCGCGCAACTGAAAACTTCCCGTCTCGCTCGTAATGAAAACCTTTGGATTCTATTAACACCGACCGTCATTCTAATGAATTATCTTGCATGAGAGAAAAAAATTACATAATTTACGTTACTTTGCGATGATGCATCATGGTAATTTCGAACGGAATAATAATTATCTGAATTTATCACAATACACCCCACGAAGAAAAATAAATCTTAAACATTTACTCCGCTCGTCTGATGAGAGCAATAGTTACTAATTTTCCTTCGATCAATACTTTCGGCCAAATAATTTAACATCATTTTTCAAGTAATTTCAACCAAACATCAACTTTCTAATATAGAACGAAAACTAAATCATTTGGAGTCTTTTTTTTTTACCGTGAGAGTAAAAACGGTTTACTACTTTATATTCAACGTACAGCTCATTAAAATTTTTTTTAATGCGATAGGAAATTTACTATACTCTCTATTGCACTGCACTTACTATTGCACCGTACTTTCCCAATGTCACTCCAACAGGCTCCACATTGGAACAGGCTCCATGTATGCCGACGACACAAAAGTTTATAATACAGTGAAGAATGCGTCAAATAAAGCGCAATTGCAAGATGATCTTGACAGCTTAGTTAACTGGGCTGATACGTGGCAGCTGACAAATGACACGAGTTTAGATCTATGAACAAGGCACGAAATGGAAAAGAATCGGCGACAGGCCACATCAGGCCTACACTTCAGAGCCGACATCACTATGTTATGTTAAACCTCTTAGAAGTATATAACTAATGGCTTACTCTCTATAAATAAGAATGAAGTTCTTTGTTTTGATTGCGTTAATAATATATTTGTTATCTATTACGGGAGCGATGTACATTATTTACTTTAATTCAAATTTGAAAAAATTAAATTTAGCTGAATTAATTAATAATTACTTATCCCAGTGGTTCCCAAACTTTTTTCAGGCCCTTTGGCTCCCTAGTGAATTTCAAGCGCCTCCCACAGACATACGCCTCTCTTGAAATTTAGTACGCTGCAATTTAAAAGATAAAGGTTAAACACAAATGTGTATTTCACAAATAGAACCCAATTTAGTGAACCAATATGTTTTTAGCTGTTTTAACTGTTTCAGCACTAGAAACCTAGGACGTCGCGAGCGAATTTACGGCCTGACTCGTGGCCGGTCTCACGACCAATCGCCAAATTCGATTATCAAGTAATATCTCCCAAACTAATGAACGCAGCTCTATGAAACTTGGAACACGTATTCATCAGAACCTAACGGTGATGTTTAGCTCCTAATTTTTTTTTAATTTCACCTTCATTTGTGAGTTACGCGTATATTGCGAAACAGGCAGAAATTCGCAGTGATCAAAGAATTTCTTCCAAACTATTGAACAGATTTGAACAAAATTTTGAATATACACTTCTAACTACCAAGCGATGATTTTTTAGCTTATAAAATTTTTTCGATTTTACCTTCGTTTGCGAGTTTTTTTTTTCATTTCACCGTCGTTCTTGATTTCACACATCCTTATATTCGGCCCGTTTCGCCGGGTTATTTGTCACTTAAATTCGCGGCGATCAAGAAATTTCTTCCAAACTACAAAACAGATTTTAACAAAACTTTGTATATAAATACCTAACCTCTCAACCGTGATTTTTGGCTCGTGATAATTTTTCTATTTTGCTTTCGTTCGCGAGTTATACAGATATAGGAGGAACGACCGGCTTTTCTACCGGCCGGTTTAACCAAGAGCCTTATACGTATAGCCGTATGACTCGCAAACGAAGACAAAACGTAAAAATTAAACATCGCCATTGCTGAGGTTAGGTATTTAAATACAAAGTTTCGTTCAAATCTGTTCAGTAGTTTGGAAAAAATTTCTTAATTACTGCAAATTTAAGCACGTCTTGCTGTTTAAATAACGAATGAAGATGAAATGAAAAAAAAAACTCGCGAACGAAGGCACAATCGAAAAAATTTTCACGAGCTAAACATTACCGTTCGGTAGTTAGGTCTGTGAATTCAAAATTTCGCTCGAATATGTTCAGTAGTTTGGCAGAAATTCCTTGATCACTGTGAATTTCGGCCCGTATTGCCATATAACTATGACAAAAACAAACAATGGCAAAATTCAAACAATTTTCACGAACTAAACATTACCGTTTGGTCCTAATGAATACGAGGTACCAAGTTTCATCGAGTTAAGTTCATTAGTTTGAGAGATATTCCTTGAGCATTGAATTTGGAAATTGGCCGTGAGACCGGCCGTGAGACCGGCCATGAGACCGGCCGTGAGACCGGCCGTTAATTTGTCCTAGACGTAAACCCAGGAGAGGTTAAAAAAACAGATCTGGGTGAAAAAGCCATCGCTGGGAGTCATGTGCTGCACGTGTTGTGTACAAATCGTCAAACAAACGTTTGAACTTCTGACATTAACTTCGGACTACCGCCCCCTATCGCCCCCTAACGCCCTTTTCTTCCTTACCGCCCCCAAAATCTTTCCACCGCCCCTAGGGGGCGATATCGCCCACTTTGGGAACCACTGACTTATCCTACAACGAGGAAATTTTATTGCAGTTTCAGTCATGGGTTGTGATGATTAATAATAATTTATGTTCGCACGTGACGACAGGGCGTGCCGCTGTTGGGCAACGCGACGACAGGCGTGACGGTGATGGGGTGGCGGGTGGCGGTACAGGGCGCGTCCCGCCGCCTGTCGGGGGCCTACACCTGCGCCGCCGCCAACTCCCTGGGCGCCGCCACCTCCCACCCCCTCACCCTCAACATCAAGTGTATGTATCAATACAGTAATATTGTCATTGAAAGAATAATAACAATATTATCAACTTCCCGCCTCTTCACATTCCTAGTGACCTCAGATGGTGCCAGTAGTGCCAGTGTGAAGGGTCATATTGAAAAGTATTTAAAAAAATTATGTACTCTTAACCAGGCTGGGATATTTTAATTGCAAATCATTACGGATTGAATGCATCCAGCACAGTATTTAAAAATAAAATTGTTTACTAAGAACGTGCAAAATCTAAAAATCACACAATTATTCAAGTTATACGTTAAAGAGAGTAAAATCAACAGAAATGTGACTCTGCCCACAAGTCTCCAAAGATCAATACCTTGGTGATAATATCACTCTTGCTGTGGGCGAAATAGAATGGTTAGGAGTATCAAAAGTGACGTAAACCCGAACGAGATGCAACATAATACCAGACGCTTAATATTGTGCAACTGATGTGTATCAAATAGTCACATTTCATAAAATTATTAAAATTATTGCGTCATTCGAGCTAAATTCACCAACAAAGTTCTGTTAGAAAGAAGAAACTCTCTCTCAAGTTTTATGTGGTACAAGGTTTTCTGTAAATCGCTACACTTATGGTTGAATTAATACATGTATTATTTCAACCATGACTACACTGGCGTTGGGCAGTCGGCGAATTTTTTAATAAAAGTTCCCGAATTTTTGAATAAAAGAATTCCTGACGGGAGGATCGGGCGCCCTGGACAAAATAACGCAACTTTGCATTTGTGGCGTGCAAGGTCATCGGGGCAGCGTGGTTGCGACTCAGAATATTCTGGTTTACTCACTGGAGTGTGGGACGAATATGACTACCAAATAGAGATACGACGTGAATTTAAATGTAAACATATTAGACACCTTTGAGAATTAATGAATTAACCCTTTTGATTTAAGTTTCAGCCCTAAAAACTGGTATTTGTAAATATTTAGTATTGTTCAAAATACAGGCATTCCAAATCGGATGCGTGTACCATTTACAATACACACACGAGCTCGGTACTAGCTAATAATTTTAAACCAACAGATCAAAGGGAAAATCCAACTTAATGTACTTAACTAACGATTAATCAGTTATCTTAACATTTTTCTATCGAAGGGATGAATGTTCTTCCCTGATGGTTCTTGTGAGAATTGATTCTAACGTTTCACTATGGTTATTTGAAGTAAGTTTTGCCAAAAAGGATTGTAGGTAAAATATATTGTGTGTGTCCACTCAATTATATTGAAATAGAAAGCATTCTATATAACGACGGATTAACTTTTCTGCGGCCTAATATAAATCGAGTATACAAATGTGTCACTCATACGAGAATATAATGGAGAAATTTTCGCTCATGCATTTTAACTGCTAATTTTTATAAAGTGTAGAGGAGTAAGGGAAATTTTTGAAGAGACGTAACAAAATGTCGAACTAAAAGTGTGGCAGTGAGTTTACGGCACATAAATATGCTCTCTTTTCACACACACAACGAAAACATAAACACTATGAAAAATTATTAAATTTCATGTGTTAGGTGGGAAAAGTTCACAAACTCAATCTTAACTCTGGTTTAAAAAACGAGCAGAAGATTTTAACTCTAGCAATATACATGCATGGGGCGGTGCAGAAACAAGCGTCCAATAAAGAGAGAGTTGCGATAGTGTCATCACGAGGCTCGTTGGACGCACCTATGCCGCTGTGATCTTATGAATATGATAATGAGAGTTAATGCCTTTGTCGATTTGCATGAAGTGCGCCAAAAACTCAGCCATCCTGAACTACAAGCCATGCACATTATATGAGCGTCAAAAAATACTTGAAATATTTTCAACAAATGAAGTATTTTCAACAAATGAAATATTTTTAACAAATGAAATATTTTCAACAAATGAAATATTTTCAACAAATGAAATATTTTCAACAAATATTTCTGAGTTATAAACGTTTTAGGTCAATTTCGCACGTTGCACGACTTTACGAAAATTTACGGAAAATTATTAAATAAAAACGTTTCTAGTTCTGAACTAATGCAAAATTCTTCCTGACTACTAGCAAGAACATTACATCTTAGTATATATTTTGAAACGTTTTTTTTTCAGAAGATTCTGATACCTTATTTTTTTCTCTAACGAAGATGATACAGCATGCTCTTACCTAACATTTTTGTGTGCACTATGTGTTTCTAATGACTTAATTATTGAATGAAAATAGTTTATTCATTTGTTACATAATTGTATGAAGAATTTTCTAATTTAGTTCTTCTAAGAGATATTTTAAAAGTCGTTTTCGTTTAATTCTGAACTCAAGAACAATGAAAATTACATAACTCTACTCCAGATGCCCCGGTCTGCAAGGAGGACCAGCAGAAACAGTACGGCACTGGTATCCAGGAGCAAGTAGCCGTCACGTGTACAGTAGACAGCTACCCACCACCAACATCTTTTAGGTGGGCGTTCAACAGATCCCAGGAGGCGATGGACATACCACGCAACACTTACTCTATGACGGATCAAAGTAGCGCGCTCATGTACACGCCCAGAACTGAGATGGATTTTGGCTCGCTTCTTTGCTGGGCAGCGAACGAGGTGGGCGTCATGGACCAGCCGTGTGTGCTCAGAGTCGTCCCTGCTGGTGAGTTGAGCTCGGAATTACGTTGGAAATTGAATTTTTCTGCAATAAATTTATTGTGTTTGACAAGTTTGAGAGTAAGAATTTCACCCTTGATGATAGGAAGTTTGTATGAAAACTTGTACCTGAAGCTGAATTACGCAAATATATTCATGCTTGGCGGTTAGGAATTACATCTTAACTGCAGAATGCGGTTATGAACGAGCTATTCGAATGACGCTTATTGGATAAACAGCTTATTTGAGCTCGTTGAATGCAAAACTCGAATACTTAATCTTATCAATTGGAAATTAAAACGAACTATTAAAATTATTTACTCTAACTTCAAAATTAACCGTAAGGAAAAAATTCACACTTTCAAGTCTTTCTGCCTCAAATCCACCGCAACATTGGGAAAAACAATAGTTTTTCAATATTTATTCCCTGCTTTCAGCTAAACCAGAGCCAGTGGGCAATTGCGACGTGATCAACAACAACTCGATGTCGGCGAGTGAAGCGGTGGTATCGTGCACGCCGGGCTGGGATGGCGGCCTCGAACAATCCTTTACCCTCGAAGTGAGGGAATCTAAGAACAAGCACTCGAGAATTCTAGCGTCGGTGCAGCACTCTCCACTGCCCTATTTTAACTTGAAGGGCCTAAAGCCGAGAGAACACTACTTGTTTATCGTGACGGCAGTAAACTCCCGAGGTACTAGCCCTCCGGTAACGGTTTCTTACATTACCCCCTTCAGGGAGCTGCCATCCATTGCCTCCCACACGGCGGATAGCGCTACGTGGATCTCCTGGACGTCGTTTGTGGCCGTTATCTTTGGTGCCATGCTCAGTATTCTGTCGTGCCTCTGCGCGGTGCTTGGTCTCATGAAGTTTAAATCGTCGGCGGGCAACACCGCGGCTCCAAAACCCTCGACTTTGTCACCTTTTCCGCCGCCACTTAAAGCCGCTCCTGGTCGCGACTCCGGCTGTGATGAACGGGCCTCCAGAAAAAGCTCGTTGACTGGAATGGGATCTTCAAACGTAATCTGCAGTGCTTGTAAGTTTCAAATAGTTATTTTAGAGATAAAATATTGGATGGTTCCAACTATTTCAGCATATACATGGTTGCTTCATGCCAATACACATTTCATTTGATGCATGGAATATAACAATAACTGTGGTTCATTGGAAGAATTTTTTTGTTAAAAATAAAAATTTATTTTATCTTCATTGATTTCTATTTAAGATCTGAATAACGGCAGCAAGTCGAAGGCGATTGAGTTCCGGCACGATTGCGATGGTTTCGATGACCGTTGCGGCTCGACTTCTTCGAGTTACTGCAGGCTCGACAAGCAGTTCCACAGCTCATCGACCGACGTTACTTTCTGTAAACTTGACAGGAACGTCAATTTTTACAGTCTGCGGCGCAACGTGAATCTTTATAAGGAGGATTCTCCGACGACGGAATATCGGGCCGTCGATCGGACGTTCCACCGCGCCGTGACCGACAGAAATTTGCGAAGCTCGGGAAGTGATGTGAGAATTGTCGGTGATTCTTGCGCGTCCTCCGCCCGTCCACAAGCCTCCTCAGTGCATTGCTATAGGGACCGATTTTCTTGTGACGAAGGGCGATTTCTTTCTAATGAGAGCCGATTTCCGACGCCAGATGACAACCCATATCCACACCAGGAGCGACGATATGTGCCTGATGATGGTCGATATTTCGCTGATGACGGACGATACAATATCAGTAGCGTAAGCGCGACTCTCAAGACTTGTGGGAACGACAACGTGTATCATTGAGTTTCTGACGTGAATTCATTTTCCAGAAATATACCCTATTTCTAGGGTGGTTGTCAGAAATATGAACTTTACACGTGATTCAGAATTTTTTCGGAGCAAAGTGAGAAGACCATCAACGACGTAATGCTCAACTTTTAATTAAAACGTAATTAAACAAGCCTGCATTTCGACTTTGCGTTGAAAATTGAAAATGTAGGGATAAACAAATAGGAATCTCAGGAAAAAGAGCATATCAATGTACTGTAAATCCTAGTAAACTAAGCTCGTGTATTAGACCTGACAATATAATGGATTTACTCTTGTAATTTGTAAAAACGAATGTTTGAAAATCCTATACATTCCTTCATTTGACTTTCAAATTTTTACTGCTATTTTCAGTGGTAAATTTAAACATTGATATTATTGTTTACACCGTTTGTACGAGAGGTGCATTACTTCCTGCATTTTAACAACAATGAAAATAATACAACACTTAAATCTAATAAAAGCACAATCTTGCGTTTATAACATTCTGCACCATTTCCTTCACTTTCTGAAAATGTTCATCAATGTATTTCCTCTGCATGTCTTCCATTCTCTAAATGGTTGGTGATGCACATCATTGTTATTGATGTTTTTATGTAAATACCGATGTTACTTGTTGTGAAATTGCTATTCTACGACTATTAACGTAAAATAAATGTCCCTCGATTGAGTGAATCCCACTCCTAAGCAAACAAGTCAATATAGGAAAGTGCGTTGAGTATTTACTTTCGCAATTCGTTCTCTGTTATATAAAAAATACGGATATTTCAATTATGGGATGTTACATTCGGAAATTTTAACGCATAGTTTTTTGGTATTTTGCCGAACATGAATTCTATAATGATAAATGCTAATAGAAGACAGACGATTTTATTTTTCGTGTAGCAAGTTCATTTCGTTCTGCGACTGTTTGCTGTGCCAGTGAAACGGTCGTAGCGCCTGCCTCATCTCGGCACTTAAAGCTGAGGCGGCCGTGCCTCGTAAACGGCGCTAATTCCCCACGCGGAGCACGGCAATTGTTCGGGACGTTGACGAGCTCAGCAAACTGAAGAAGTAAAGGCGTTCAAAGAAGTACCTTTAAAAGTGTTTTATTAGTTGAACTTAACACACTCAAGAATTTCTTGGACTGAGCTACGCTGCATTATATTGTTGAAAGAAATAAAGATCAATTTATCGAATAGTATTAATATTATGAAAGTACCACTTCAGATTGAAGGAAAGCATCATTCAGATTATAAACCTTGATTGTGGTTCTCAGGTTGATGACATTGATGAAAAATTCTGTGGCATTTAGGATACATAATACAATTTTCTTGTCCAAGCTACGCATTTTAGGGTAAAAAATTGCAGTGTTAGGTGATCAAAGGCAGCAAACGAATGATTTTGCAGATGCACATTCATCAGTCAGGCAAAACGATCAGATTAACTCTTAATTTAATCGATTGTGGCTTTGATACTACGTACATTAAATATTTTAAGTCATTTATGAAATTAATAATTTCATGAAATGAAGGCATTGCGAACATACCTTTTTCTCTATTTGTGCATTCATAAATGTCCTCAGTGAGAGAATGGATATAATGCACAGGTCCAGCGAATATAAAAATTCTGATCGTCGATCACTACTCGATTGTTTAAATGCAGGCGCGTGACAAGGCAATGCAGTTTATGCAAGGTTTTTCACACAGAATACTGTAAATTAACTTTGCTAAACTTGTTGGTTCAACATAATTGTACCCGGAATATTGAATGGGAGTCGTCAGTATGTGTAGTTCTGTCACTTAAGATAATCGTTGTGTATCTCATGGATTCGGTGCTCAAACAAATATACGTTACCTACATCTGTTGTCATTGAATATTTTCATCATCTATACGTCAGGTGAACCAAACTGCTTAAAATTTGGCGATGAATTTGACGCAATTTGAATTTGGCGATATCAATCGTACAATAAATCTGAGAATAGGCGGATTCATCAACAAATATTTAATCACTTTCATTAGCGATTGAAATCACTTTCACATAAGAACCGCAATGTGAAAATGCTAAATATAATAGGCAATTTAGTATACCAAAAAAGACTTCCATCGTACACAAGAAAGCGAAGTATTTATTCGCATATTCATAACAATTATGCATTTTTTCATTTGGTGACGAAATTATTATTATTATAGAAACAAAATAACAGTCTATTACAATGAGTTTCTTCTACATTTAAAATATTAAAGGTTGAAAGGCGGGGAGGAAACGACAATTAATGCTGAAAGCAAGCGTAGAATCTCACACAACCAGATTGCACGAATCAATGCCATTAATGAATGTCATGAATTAATTCTGTAACTGAAATTGGACACTGTGAGAGAAATGCGACTATTTATATTAGTGAAAAATGTTCAACGAGATGTTTAATGAGATTTATTATGAGATAATTATATTTTCTAGGAGGATTAGTGGCTCTCTTAGGAGAGTAGAAGATCTCTCTCATGAAGCAAGTAAGTAATTTTGAACAAAATAAGCAGTCAAATGGTAACCATGTTGAAATAATCGGCCAGGAAATAATTTATCGCGGAGGGCATAGCCCCTGGCGATATTCTCTTGGATTTTTATTCCTCAGAAAATAATTCGCAAATTGTCCAAGAATTTCACCAGTTCGCAAAAAAAAATTTATTATGGCAGAGAAAACACAACAAATCGGTATTCTCGTCATGGAAGCTACTGACTCACATCGTAATTACGCTTCAACAAATTCATAGATTACAGTCCATCTTCCACGGAAAATCTGTCGTGAAAATAATGTATTTCCATTGGATATTTGCCGTACGAACATTTGCATTTAATTTAAAACACAGCGTACAATGCGAATGTGTGTTGCACCAATTAACATATTTTACACCAACACTTCTATAAAAATACACAAGTATCACTATAATAGTCACTGGATGACAATTCATTAAGAATTGATGTCGCTTGTTTGCTTAAATCGCAAACTAACTAAGAATTTAAAAGCAAAGAATAGTCCACAAAAATTCATACCCTTATAGAAAACGTTTCCGAGACCAGCTTCATCGTCAGTTCATAAAATCTAGAATCACATATTAGAAGTCAAATTATAAGTGACTTCTAATTTGTGATTCTAGATTCTACGAACTGATGATGGAGCTGGTCTCCGAAACGTTTTCTATAAAGAAATGAATTTTTGTGGACTATTCTTTACTCTTAAATTTATAATTAATAAACTACAAGCTTTTCCATGCCCTGCATTAAAAACACAATGATGAAAGAGGTGTGCATCTAACGAGCGTCACCCTAACATGGCGTGATATAGTACATTCAACAACATGGTAATATTTAATGGTTATACCGTGTTTAATCTAGGAGTACACCGGCATGCAACATTCACAGCACGTGTCAGTAAAATACGACTTATTGCGTCAGTTTCTCTTTAAAGTAGAGCGTTGCCTTGGAGATGCTCACTCCACTGCTGTCAAGTTTCTAGAACTTGCTTCGATGTACATCGATGTCGCGAAAAACAATTACTGACTTTAGAGCAGTTGTAGTACAAACTGATTCATAACCTGATTCATAACATCAAAATAACCCTATAAATTATGATATTGCGACAAGTCTCCAACACATGTATAAATATTGGAGAAAGTCGATTGCACTCCGAGGCAGGTTATATGGCAGTAATTATAGATATGCGACTAGCTAGACCTGGGCACTAATAACTACAGCAGAGGTGACAATATATTGCTCATCACAGCGGTGAGGCTTCAGACAATGGAATTGTATAGGGCTTGACCTGGATGTGCAAGCTTTTTCTTTCTTGATCGGTTGTATCTCATTGAAAATATCTCGGAGAGTGGCATTATTGCATGCTTTTGGATTCTATAACAAATTGAAACAATTTCATTCCGATAGTTCTTTCATTCTTTCTTATATTTCATGAAGATTTTGAAGGTGACATTAAGAAATCTGTCGACTCAGCGAAGTGCTGGAAGTAATTACAGTTCTTTGACGGACATCCAATCTTCGTGCGATCTCCAAAAATTAAGGGTATCATTTAGTGTTTTATTTACTTTTTCAAACTTAACACGTTTGTTTCCCACCGTTCGGCACCTCCAAATTGGTTATTTATCCAGCAGGGATTCATAGAACTACACTAAATTAATTAATCCAGTGCGTCAATCAATGTAGAAAATTGATGCCAACTATTAAATTCCGTCAGAATTGGCTGCAGGGAAAACCTAATTAGAGATCTTATAACGCCACAGCCAAAGATGATTAAAAAACCTTACAGGGAATCAGTGACTGATTTTAGCCGCTGTAGGAATGGCCGCTCATATATCGGCCAGCGATGGCCGATGGCTGGGAAAGGCAGTTGAATCCTGTCGGATTGTTTTTGGATGGAATACCTATCAGCTAAATTTGTGTGAAAAAGTTGGGGGTGCTTGAAAGTCTTCTCCACAAATGAAAAATGAAGAAATGAATTGTTGAATCAACAAACGAATTGTTAATTCTTCACTAACAATTCATTGAGTTCAAAATAAACCGACATTGAGTTCAAGTTGTTTGCGATATTTTACCTAATAAAATGACGTTAATTGATATTAAAACAGAAGCAGGTTTAGTTTAGTTAGTTTAATAGCTTAAACATCTTTAAGTCTGGCATACAACTCTGGTTCTGAATATGATAAAGCTTATGGCATAAAAATTGACGAAAAAATGCAATGGATAGGGGATACGATTGTCGGCATTCGATGTAATGATTTAGGAATTGGTAATAAAGTTTTAGAAGGAACTGTTGGGTTATGTGGGAGCTGTTAACAAGTCAAAACCCAGAATACTTTGAAGAACATGATGTTGAAAATAACTTTAAAATTTTCAGACATACTAAGGCTCATCTTAAGCCTGATGGAGTAATAGAAGCAAACAAAGGAAAGAAGTATGCAAAATTCATCAAATATTCATTCATAAAAAATTCATCTATAAAAATTTATCAGTAGGAAAAGGTGCATCATGAAGTTATTTGAATTAGAGCTGCAAGTCCTGCATCGTCTAGGGAACCAACGCCGAAACCAGATACTGATTCAGATGTATCAGAATCATGAATAATAGTTATACCTTCTAACGTTAATGATATCGTTGCAAGGCATAACTTAATATTCGGCTATCTGAATGCTGGAAGCACAGGAGTCTTTGATGAATAGCTGGTACTCATGGATAAAATTTATAAACGAAATTCAATAAATTATCGTGATGAAAAGCTATCGAATACTTTTTCTTTAAGAAAATGGAATCATAAAGCATAGTTTTCACCGGGATAAAAATTGATATTTACACGAATTTCACGTCAGCAATAAAATTAGATACAAACAAATTTCGTGACCTGGATTTGGGGGCTGGATATAGGTCACTCTATCCAGAATATCGACGAGACAAATAATAAATTTCATTATGGATTGATGGGCTATAAAAACTTTATAACAATTCCGACCGGAGGCTATAAGATAGAGAGTATCAGCAAGTTTATTTAAATGCAACCGGAGACAAAGACTCGATTGACATAAAAGCAAACACAAATACTTTGAAATGTGTTATAACTATTCATAATACTGACTTAGAAATTTATTTCAACAGACCCAACAGGTTACATATTCTGTTAGGCTTCAATGATGGAGTGTTGGAAGGTGTTGGGAATATTAAAGTGCAAATACATTAAATATAATGTCTGTTAATGCAATACTTGTTCACTGCAGTGTTATAAATGGATCATATCTGAATGGTGATTTACGCAATATCTTCTGTATATTTTTCCCAAACATTCCCCCTGTGTATAAAATTGAAGAGAATCCTAGTCAACCAATTTATTAAATGTAGATCAACCTTCAATTTATAATAGCCGAATTTTATTAACAGATCAAAATAGAAATCTTTTGAACACCAAAGGTGAAGAAATAGCAGTTAGGTTGAACTTGAGAGCGTGAAAGCTAAATGAGTATCAATCAAAAAGTTGATACTCATGATTATAAGCATCAAATTGAAACTGATTTAAAGCGTGAACATAATGATATCAAAATTATTATTCAGAATTAGGATCAGTTTCTACTTACAATCTAACTACAATACTTTAATGGACGTAGTGTTTACTTATGGGCTGTTGATGGTCAATTTAATGCAACAATTCCCCTTAAAAATATATTCGGGTTCTGTGAAAATTATGACAAAGTGATTTATGGAGTCAAGCATGACTTAACTCTAAAAAGAGGTAATGATGCAAATGCTCTGTTTAAGACTAGTGATAAAGATCCAAATAACCAAAATAAAGTTGTCGATAGAAAAATACTATCAAATACTTATTTCGAAAATGACGGCTTATAAAGCCTTTGAAGAGAATTAGAATAAATTATATCGTTAAATAAAATATAAAATTCTAATATCAATTGCATACATTATTCGACAATGGGAACACACAATAATGAGTCTTAATCGAAAGTTATTAAATAGGATTAAACTCTCACTCCAAGTTCGGCAACTCAAAGACATCGACATGTCATTCTAGCATTTCTAACTAGTAGAGATAATTCACAACTTTCGAATAATGCACCGTTTGATCATTGTGATTGAAATAATGCATATATCCGGGATAATGATAGATGCATAATGATAGATTATGCATCCCGAACAAATTGTGCGGTTGCATACAGAGATTATAGGTTTTATATCCAAATTTCGTATTTGATATCAGCCGACAAAACAAACGTCTTAAGGGCAGTCATATTGATATGAAAATTGAAGCTGAACTTATTAATAATATTCCTTATAATACACATGC